AGGGAGGGAAGAAGGAAGGAAGGAAGGAAGGAAGAACAAAAGAAAAGAAAAGAAAAGAAAGAAAACCTGTATTTGTTAGCAGCAACACCTCATTTTTCTCCAACACAACAGCCCTAAGCAATAGCTGATCTCCCTGTCTCTAGATTTGTGTTTACTGGACATTTCACACAAATGGGATCATACAATATGTGTTTTTTTGTTGCTGACTTCCTTCATTTTGTATAATGTTTTCAGTGGTCATCCATCTTGTAGCATGAGTCAGTATTTCAGTCATTTTTATTGCCAAATAATATTCCATTGTGTGCATATGCCACCTTCATTTATTCACTCCTTAGTTGACAGATCTTTGGATTGTTTCCATTTTTTGGCTATAATGAATAACTGGGTGCTCATAATGTTATGAACATTTGTGTACATGTTTTTGCATGGACATATGTTTTCATTTATATTTGTATATACCTAGGAGTTGAAATGCTAGGTCATAGTTAGAATATTTTGAGGAATTGCCAGCCTGTTTCCCAAAGTTAAATGAGATGCATCATTATACGTTCCAACCAGCTGTGTATGAGGGTTTCAGTATTTCATGCTCTTGTCAACATTTGTTATAATCTTCTTTTTTTTATTTTAGTCATCCTAATATGTATGAAGTTGTATTTTCTTACGGCCTTGATCAGCATCTCCCTAATAACTAATGATGTTAAACAACTTTTATTGTTTTTATTGGTCATTTGTATATTTTCTTTGCAAAAATATCCTTTCAGATCCTTTGCCTATTTTGAAATTGTGTCATTTATCTTTTAATTACTGATCTGTAAATTTCTTTATATATTCTAGATACAAATCTCTAATCAGATGTATGAAATTATGTTCTTTTCTGTGAGCTGCCTTTTTGTTTTCTCGATGACATCCTCTGAAACATAAAAGTTCTTAATTATTATGAAGTCTAGTTTATCTATTTTTTCTCTTCTTATTTTTTCTTTAATGTCATATCTAGGAAGGCTTTGTCTTACCCAAGTTTATGGTTACTCTTATATTTTCTTCTAAGAATTGTATAGTTTTAACTCTTACGTTGAATTTTATGATCCATTTTGAGTCCATCTTTCTGTATGGTGTGATGAAGTGGTCTAGCTTTATTATTTTGTATGTGGATGTTCAATTATTCCAACATCATTTGCCAAATTATTTCACAATTGAATTGCCTGGTCACCTTTGTCCAAAATTAATTAACTGTTAATGTGAGAGTTTGTTTCTGGAATATTATTTTTATTCCATTGATCTTACTGTCCATCTTTATCCCAGTACCACACAAGCTTGATAACTTTGTAGTAAGTGCTGAAATTGTGAAGTCTGAGTCATCCAACTTTGTTCTTTCATTTCAAGGCTTTGCCTATTTTGGGTACCATGAATTTTTATATGAATTTGAAGATCAACTTGTCAATTTTAAAAAGAATCCTGCTGTGTTGAATTTGTAGCTCAATTTGAGGAGTTTTGCCATTTTACCAATATTAAGTTTTCCGATCCATGAACTCAAGAATGTTTTTTATTTTATTTAGATCTTCTTTAGTTTCTTTCAACAATATTTTATAGTTTTAAGCATACGAGTTTTGCCTTATTGTAAAATGTTATTCCTTTTGATGCTATAATAAATGGTATTATTTTTCTTTATTTTATTTGTAGATTATTTATTGCTAGTATATAGAAATATAATTGATTTTCATATATTGGTTTGAACTCTGCAAATATGCTGAACTCATTTACTAGTTCTAATAATTTTTTTCTTTGATTCTTTAGGGTTTTCTACTGGGTTGTTGGAAAAGTCATGATGCATTTTTGCAATGAAAAACATAGAAAAAGTATGTCATGACTTTTCCAACAACCCAATATATACGAGATTATGTCATCTGTAAAAAGAATTTAACCTTACTTCCTGCTTTCCAATCTGGATGCCTTTTATTTAATTTTCTTGCCTAATTGACTTGGCTAGAAACTCCAGTATGAGGTTGAATAAATGTGGTAAAAGAGGACATACTTTCCTTGATGCTGATCTTAGGGGCAGTCATTCAGTATTTTGCCATTAAATGTAATGTTAGCTTTTCACAGATGCCTTTTATCACGTTGAGGAAGCTCCCTTCTATTTTCGGTGTGTTGAGTGTTTTTTATCATGAATGGATATTGGGTTTTGTCAAATGATATTTACGAGGCTATTGAGATGGTCATGTAGTTTTTGTTCTATTTTCTATTAATATGGTGTTTATATTAATTGATTTTTGGATTTTAAATCAACTTGCATCCCTGAGATAAATCCCACTTGGTCATGTTGTATAATCTTTTTTATAAGTTGTTAGAATCTGTTTACTAGTGCAATCGAGTCTCATTATTTGAAGTTTCCATATTTGTAAATTTTTCTACTCACTAAAATGTACTTGTAATTCCCAAATCAATATTAGTGGCACTTTTGTGGTAACTTGTAAACATGCACAGAACAGTGAAAAAACTGAAGTACCCAATGTACATATTTCCAGCTAAATTTGAAAAAAGTGTTGTTCTTTTCTCCTGTGTCAGCTCTCATACTGTAAACAAGTGTCCTTTTTGTGCTCTATTTAATGTCACATTTTTCACCTTTCATTGACAATTTTGGTGTTTAAAATAGCCCTCAGCCTGAGTTCTGAAATCCTGCCTAGTGTTTTTAAGTGCAAGAAGGATGTGATGTGTGTTACATAGAAAATATATTTGTTAGATAAATTTTGTTCAGGCACGAGTTATTGTGCTGTTGGCCACAAGTTCCATGTTAATGAATCAGTGATATTTATTAAATAAGGTGCCTTTAAAGAGAAGCATGCATAAAACAAAGCTATCATTTATTAGTTGATGCAAATGTTATGGCCAAAGGTTCTCAAGGATGTAACCCTGTATTTCTCTTATGAGCAATGGTCCAATATTCACTGATTCAGTGTTCTCAGTGACTTTACAGAAAATAACTTATGTGACTAATTAGACAAGAATTTTTACATATATACTAACTAGAGAATTAGTTGGTAGTTTTCTGTTCTTGTGATATGTTCTTTTAGTTTTGGTATCAGGGTAATAATGGCCTTATATAAGGACTTGGTATGTGTTCCCTCCTGTTCTTTTTGGGAAGAGTTTGTGAAAAGTTGTTATTAATACTTTTTAAAAAATGTTTGGTAGAATTCACAAGTGAATAAAAACTGAGTCCTGGTTTTGCTGTGTGGAAAGGTTTTTTTTTTTTTTTTTTAAGCTGAGCCATCCTGCCACCGGTTGGCAGCTCAACGGCTGCTCAGCTCGGGCCAGGAATTGAACTGCTGTTGCTCAGAGCTCAAACTCTTGAGCGAGCTCTTAACCAACTGAACCACTCAGCTGGCGGAAAGTTTTAAATTTTCTAATTGTGCAGAAAAAAGTTAACATGACAGGCCTATGATCCTTAGAAAGGCTAGCTTACAGTTGGCTCATTTCTGGGAACTTAGAATCTGGAAGGATTCCCACCATTCCCAGAATTGATAAGAGTGCCTCACTGTACCTTATCTGTTTGTACAAACAATGTGGCTTATACTGAACACCTTCTGGGAGTCTAGAATTTTGGTACATACTAGGCAGAGGCTGTCTACATGACCAGCCTGGGATGATGAGTCTCCTATGAGCTTTCATGATTAGCAACATCTGACACATGTTTTCAAAAATATTTCTGGGCAAATTAAGTAAGTCCTGTGTGACTCCCATGAGAGATGACCCTTGGAAGCTGTGAATTGTTTCCCAGAACTTTGCCATGTGCACCTTTTCCCTTTGCTGGTTGTGCTTAGTATCCTTTTGCTGTAATAAATCATGAATACATGAATAAGCATGAATACAATTCTATGCTGAGTACTAGTGAATTACCCATCCTTAAGATGATTTTAGGGATCCTCAACATAATAATTTAATCTCTTTTCTTGCTAAAGACTTACTCAAATTTCCAATTACTTTTTTTAACTAAAATTTATTGGGAGAACAATGGTTAGTAAAATTACATAGGTTTCAAGTGTACGATTCTGTAACACATCATCTATATATCACATTGTGTGTTCACCATCCAGAGTCAGTTCTTCTTCTATCACCATATATTTCACCCCTTTACCCTCTTCTGCTATCCCTCCTCCCCCGCCCCGCCTCTGGTAAGCACTGAACTATTGTCTGTGTCAAGAGTTTTTGTTTCTTCATTTGTTTGTCTTGTTCCATTGTTGTTTTTAGTTTTACATCCCACATATCAATGAAGTCATATGGTTCTCGACCTTTTCTGTCTGACTTATTTCACTTAGCATAATAATCTCAAGATCCATCTATGTTGTCGCAGATGTCACAATTTCATCTTTTCTTATGGCAGAGTAGTATTCCATCGTGTATATATACCACATCTTCTTTATCCAGTCATCTATCGAAAGACACTTTGGTTGTTTCCATGTCTTGGCCACAGTAAATAAAGTTGCAATGAACATCAGAGCCCATATATCTTTATGGAAAATGTTTTCAGATTTTATGGGTAGATACCCAGGAGAGGGATTGCTGGGTATTATGGTAATTCTATTCTTAATTTTTTGAGGAACCTCCACACTGGATTTCCAATTTCTTCTTGAGTAAGTTTCAATACTTGTTTTTTTTCCAGGATTGTTTTTCCATTTCATCAGAGTTAACTAATTTGATGTAATTATTCATTGTATTCCTTTATAATCCTTTTATTTCTGTAAGGTCAATAATAATGTTCCCTCTTTCATGACTGTATACAGGCCAAATACAGGTTGGTTGATTTTATTGATCTTGTCAAAGAACCAACTTTTGATTTCATTAATTTTCTCAATTGTTTTTCTAATCTCCATTTTATTTATTTACACTGTAATCTGGACCTCTCAGATGCAGTCATCTGGAATTTAGTTTCTGCAACATGGAGCTGAAGGGAAATGAGAAATGCTGGTGGCTTGCGTCTTCCAAGGAGATATCATAACCCTTGACTGGGAGCATGGGGTAGAGGGTCCTGTCTTGGCAACACCTGCTCAGAGTGAATCTTCTGTCATGGTGAGCTGTGGACAGAGGCAAGACAGGGTCAGGTCATATCTCAAGTGTTACAGACTCTCACTGTTGTTGTTGTTGTTGTTGTTTTTTTACCAGATCTACAAGTCTCTTGTTCTTAAAAATTCTTTTTGAATGAATGTTTCTGCATTTGTTGTAAGCCCTGGGGCAACTTCCAGATATTTAAAACTTTTTTGAATATAATTTTCACCAATTGTTGTTTCACTAAGGCGTGGGTCTGTGGAGCTTCTCTCACCACCATTCTAGAAGTGATCATCCCACAATGTTAAGAAACTTGAATTGATATTACTTGGGCATGAAAGAAGTACAATATAAGAGAGATCAACAATAGCTTGAATAGCCTTCAGCAGATTATTTAACCTCAGTTTGCTCAACTGTAAAATACAGATAATAATAGTTTCTACATCATAATGTTATTTCATGAATCAAAATAAGATAGTGAATTTAGTATAGTGCCAGTCACACTCACCATACCTTAAAAAACTTTATTGGGCAATTTAATCAAAAAACATTTGGAATGGGATAGGAGTCTTCCTTATTAATTATCGCTGCTCCCAAATCATTATCCTCTTTTCTTCTGTAATCCTAACCATTTTGTAATTTTTACTGTTAGATTATACCAATGTCACTCTTAGTAGTGGTCATCTTCCCACACAACCCTGTTTTTTTTTTTTTTTAATTTCTTCAAGATTTTAGATCCTGGATCCTATCACTCTCTCTAACATTATTTCTTTCATAATTCTTAGTGATTTCAATATTCACACAGGTGAACTTTCTGATACTTTGTCTCCTCTATTTCTTGGCTGCTTCTTTCTAATGATTTGTTCCCCTCCCTACCTCAACCTTACTTCCACGCTTATTTTCTTGATCTTTTTCTTTCTGATTGCAACAATTCCACCGTCATCCCAAGTTCAAACACCCAACTTTCTGACTCTGGCCTCCTATCTTTTGAGTCACAACCTTTTATATTCCAACTCCAAAACTCTTCAACCTCATCTAGACCAAGTTAACATCAATTCTACCAGATTTATCCTGCCCTTCATCTCCTAAATCTTTTATTCCCTCCTTACTCACCTGAAACTCCCTGTTCAGTCATTATAATCACTCACCTGCATACATCACCAAGTCCCATGCCTCTCTCTTGCTTCATCATATTTTCCTGATGAACCTATAACTCTAGTTAAGTAAAACTTTCTTCCTGCTATGTGCCTGCACCTGTACATTTCAATATTGGGTAAACTAAGGAAACTACACAACCATGATAACTGGTCTCACCTTAAATTCATTATCAACAGCTTTAAGTGAATTAATGCAAGCATACTATATATATTTTTTATCCATTTTGTCTTCAACTCTCCTAGATTATTTTCCCATGATTTCTTCTATTTCTATAAGTCTCAAACTTCTACAAGCTCCTATTAATGCATCACCCATCTAGCAACATTTATGCTTGTATATTCCAGTCTCTTCTGGACATTACCATGTTCATTCATGATTCTACCTAGACCATGTCTCCATCTATGCACAAATCCCATCCATTTTGCTTGCTTGCATTTCTCCATACTTTCAAAATTGTCATGGTTTCTGTCTCTGTATAGACAACTATTCCCATTAGCATGCAAACATACTATTAATTCAGTCATCATAAAAACCTTTACTTGATACCACATTGCTCTACATCTACCTCACCATGTCTTTCTGTCCGTAGCAAAACTCCTTGAGGAAGCTCTCTATCCACTGTACCATTCCTTCCCTACTATTCTGTCTTGTATTTTGCAATCAGAGTTTTTCCTCAGTCTATTGGAATTGTCAAGGTCACCAAAGACATTTATATTGCTTATTTCAATTTCCAATTCTCATATTACTTGCATTACCTGTAGTATTGAACACAATCGATATCTTTCTCCTAGAATTTTGTTTTTCTTTTGATGTTCATCATTTCTTTGACATTTCTGGCTACTCCATCTTAGTCACTTTGCCAGCTCTGCTTTATTTCCACAAACTCGGATCCTTAGACATTTTTCCTTTTCTACCTGTATTCACTCACAAGGTGATAAAATTATTTTTTAACTACCATTTCTATGATTATGACAGCAGCATTTATATTCTACAGCTAGAGTTTTCTCTTAACTTCAGATCTATATATCCAACTGCCTATTCAACGTACATTGTCTATTTATGAGACCACTCCAGCTGAAAGTATTTAAAACTCAGCGACTACTGTGCAGCTTCTTCTGCTCACTTACTCATATAGGTTAATGGTGGCTACATTCTTCCAGTTACTTGGGTCAAAAGCATTGGTATTAATTTTGGTTTCTTGTTCTCATATCTGGTCCATCAATAAATTATGTCTACTCTATCTTCAAAATGCACACAGAATTCAGTTCTGTGTCTCTTTAATACAGCAGCTACAGTTCTCCTCCATGTTACTATCATCTATGTCCGGGATTATTTCAGTATTTTTAAATTGGTCTCTTAGCTGCTGTATTTCCTCCTGCAGTCTGCATGCAACAACTTATTTAGATTTTAAGCCCTCCCCTGATAGTTCACATGCCCCTTCTTTGCTTTATGTTTTCTCTTTAGCACTCATTTTTCAGAATATTAATATTTTACTTTTTATCATATTAACCATCTATCTCCTTCAATAACATGCATGCTGCCTGAGGGAAAGTATTTTTGATTTTTTTTTTCACCACTCTATCTTTAGTGCCTATAAGAATGCCTGGCATATAAGCAGATTCATGAACTTTTTTTTTTTTTTNNNAGATAAGATATCCAGAAGATAAGAATTTTTGAGTTGTCAATATAGAGGAGATAATGAAAACATTTGAATGTATAACATCTGTAAGTGTGGAGGAAAGCCAGCAAACAGACAACAAAGAGAATCACTGAATTGGGAAATGGGGAGAAGAAACAGCCCAGTTAGCCAGAAATACAGAGAGAAATAACAACAAACTACAGGCAATATCATGGAAACTAAAAATGAGGAGAGTAGTGCAGAATTTGAGGAGGGTCAGAATAAGGAAGCTGAATTCCATTAGAAAAGTGCTTTAATTGAGCAGCATCAGGGCGCCGATGGGTCCATAAATCAAATTATAGCAGTTTAAGGAACTAAGGGACTACTCGTGAGCGCAGTGGGGTCTGGAGGTAGGTTGCCTGTTTGAGGCGCTTAGCTGTAAAATAATTTCAAACAATAGGAGGGTGATTAAAATAAAATAGTGGTTTCAAAGAGGAAGAATTTGCAAGATTTTGGCATTTCAAATATATTTCAAGGAGCAATGAGAGACTTAAAGAAAAAAACAAAACCCTAAAGTAGAAAGCCTGAGTACTGGTATAGGAATGTGGTCTCTTTGGAGGAATGGATCCCATACAAAACCATGGAGGTCAAGTTTTATTCTGGGTGTCTGTTACTTGAAAGTAATCATGGGAAGAGAAATGCTGCTTTAAAGCGAACACGATATGGCCTATAAGTACTCTTAGAACATGATTTTAAAAATTCACTATGGGGAGAACATAGTTTTAAGTATCTAATATTAAACTGATATTGTGAATTGCCTTTCAACTTTTGTGGAGGCATCTTTTAGGAACTCTTTAACTCTGACTCCCAAGTATTTAATGCTAGTGTTTAACTCTGCAAGCATGTAGAGAGATTTCTGTGGCCAGTGCACACATAATCCAAAGACTCTGAAAGCTTTCAAACTACGAGGAGATGTTAGTCTGAGGGTACCACAATGGAGGCTTGGTTAATCAAGTGGCGGGCGGGTCTTTCCCTCCAGGCTAGCTGCCCCAGGCAAATTCCAACTTTGACTCTGCCTCAGGCAGGCCTCAGGTCTGAATATAACCTGGGAGAGAAGGAACTGCTTGAAAACCCTGGTTCTACCACTTTTCTGTCTTTGCTCTTGCCCCCTTAACCTCTTGATGTCCCCGGTTTTTGTAATCTGTGCTTTAATTTTCTCACTGCCCATCCTAAGAGCTTAATATGTGGGTAATGTTAATAGTATCTAAAAACATAAAATTTAAACATTGCTGATATTGTGGGTTAAGATGGAGGGTTACTAAGTTTATGAAAAAAAATAATAGTGATGATTGTCATGTTGAATGGTCTGATTAACTTCAAAAAATGTATTTGTTCATTTGTGAGTTCTACTGCAATAGTTATTTTCATACGCAGTTGAATGTTATTCCTGGCTGGGTAGAAAAAAAGGCTGCTCACTGAAGGGGTCGAGAGTAATATTTTGTGGTTAACACAGACGTTGATTCAGTGCTGTTAATTCATTGTTATTGCTATTGTTATGTTATGTAAATAAAACTGGCCTTTCTCTTCAGTGTGGTTATGTTGTGACTTTAAATTTGAAATTGGGGAAAGGTAGGGAGGCTTATCAGTTTTAAAGAAATTAAAAAGGGGCTCTAAAATTTAGAGCTAAAAAGCATCATAGTCTGTTTAAAGTTTAGATATTAAAATAAATTCTTTGATCAACCGCTGTTGTATTAACAGATTCAATCCATTAAAAGCATTCAATAGAGCTATATTTCAGAGATAAAATGATCACATGTCAGCATTGCTGCATAGTATGTAACTGACCAATGAATTGACTTTACTTAATTGAAGGTCAAAAAATTAAAATTTCTGAGTAGAATACAGAAATAGTTTCCAGTCAGCTACATTATATAGAATAATCTCAAGTGACATAATAGTATAATGACCATTTTGCTATTTAAGATCTTTCTATTAAAGGCGTTTGATTTTCAAATAATTAAATTTTTTTTTTGGTGGTGGTGGTACTTTTTTGAGTTGAATGTTTTACCCTCCTAGAATATGGGTTTTCTACCTAGGAAAGGCTGTAAATGAAGTTTTCTTCTTTTTTTTTTTCTTTTTCACATGAGTATAGAGGCATCTGTGTTCAATATTCAGTGCTTATATATTAAATACAGTTCATTCATTACAGATTATTTGCCTTCCTTTCTAATTATAGAAGATTTGTGCCTAGTGAAAAGTCATTATTTATAATCTTTGGCCAATTTCGTTAGAGCATTAGTTAAATCTTTATTCTTTCATAATATGAGGAAGTAATTATGATAGAGAAAGAAATGCTGATTTAAAAATAGAGGCATTTTTATATTTTTTATATGAACAAAAGGGTTTTAAAAATAGTTTTAGTTTGGATTAACTCATATTGCAGTGTACAGCTCAGAAAAAAGTTTACATTTTGGATCAAAATGTAGAAAATCCATAAGCACTAACAGAAATAACGATGCCCACTTGATTATTCAAATTTGACTTAATCAGTATTTTTTGTTTATTCTATAAAACTGAAATGACAGTTGGTCTTATCAATTATGGTACAAATAATGATAAGTATCAGCATATTACAGCCAGTTAAAATGAGTTTGAGATTTTTTAATCCAAGTAATAAGAGTTGTCTTTATTTTACTATAGTGCAATATCTACACTTTTTCTTTTGTAAAAAAAATCTTTTTTGTTTTGACAATTAGAAAAACATTTTTAACATTACTTAAAGTAAAAGCACAAAATCTAGGATTAAAAAAGGAAACAGCTGCCCATCTGTCCCATCCTCACACAATTGTTCAAATTGACAAACTAGATTCTAAGACTTTATTCCAATAAATGTGGGCTACCGTGCATTTGCAAATGACAGAAAGAGTTGTACTGAATGTTTAGTAGCATTTTCATATTGCTGCCCTCATAGATGAAATATGGTATTGTTTTCTTTTAAAAAATAGCCCTTTGTCACACGATTGATTGCTATAGAATTTTTCTTTTAAAAGACATATGTGAAACTGCAAAATAGCAGATTGCATAGATGGTGTTCGTATTGTTCTGCTTTATAACATAAAACTTGTTTAGTAAAGTACATTTTGAAACTAGGGATTGTGTCATGAGCAATATAATGTAGCAAAGGCAGCTAGAAATTAGGCAATGCACAGTTCTCTTTTGGAGAAAGCAATAATATGGCTACCACAAGATTTCTGAGAATGCCTGGCATAAATTTCAGCCTCTGATCATGTGACTGAGTCTAAAATGAGCAAAGAGAAAATTCCTTCCATGTTAACATATTTCTGCTTCAAACATTCTGAATAGACAAACTTACCTTGCTGGGGTGTCTCACGTATACAATTTTATAAACAGAGGAGCATTACAGAGTCCAAGCCCCAACCTAGAGATAAAGTGTTCAGGATATAATTCCAGTATCTTGCAGGTTCATGTACACACCTCACTTTTCAACATGCATATAAAATGGCTACATGTAGAAAGACGTTATGACCATGGTAATTGTCGGGATAAATGAATACTGAATGTAAGTGTCACTATGACATGTTTTACACTACCTACATGTTAAAAATCCTTTTATGCTAATAATTTGCATAACATGCTTAGGCAAGCATATGTTGTCCCTCAATTTCTTCAAAGAAATGACCCAAGTTAACAGTGCAGTAAGAAATGTATTCATATTTCATTATATTCACTTAGTGTGGGCTACAGATGATCCCACACTAAATAAAAAATAGATAAAAATAAGAATTTAGGGACCTGTTAAACCGATAGTTCAACAACACATATTCATTTTAGGAATTTATCCTTGTTATGAAGCATGGTCAAAACATATTTTGAATAGCGACCGTGACAACACCCACTTGATGTTTAATCTGAAAGATTTAAATCTCCTAATGCTAGTATCCATAACCAGTGCAGTTGTTTTTTAACATACACATTAAAACCAGTTGTCAAATCTAAAGAATCACCAGGCTTTGGGGATCCCTGCATATTTATTTAACAACTAGTAATCAATTAATGAGAACACTTGATTTAAGCATCTGCAGCAATGACTTCAACCTGGACTCCTGTCTCTCTCTCTATTTTTATACTTCATCTATCATGTATTTTTATTTTAAATGTCATCTAAAAAGTAAGCATGTTGCTTTAATAGACCTACTCCAATAATATAAAATGTGTTGCAAAAAGAGAATTTCTGCACAACACTGGCTAGCTAGCTCTGTCTCATTGAAGCCGTCACAGTCTACAAAATAACACAGCCGATCTTACACGCTTGAAGAATTCATGCCCAGTGGAACTGCTGCACTTACCTTTTTCTTACTGTTTACCTCAATTATAATGCAAAAGTGCCATTTATCAACTTTAGTTTGAAATTGTGTGAAACTTTAGTTGAACAGGGATAGCAGACACAAATACTTCTATCAGAACTAGAAGAAACAGCGTCATTACTTAACAGAATAAAATATCACGGGGATGAGAAGCTTGACCTAGATACCTTTTGTTGCCAGAGATTTTCCAGATAATCACTTGAGAAGTTAGTAATAAGCTATAATTATATTTTAAGGTAGTTTTGTGTTTTGTGATTTTTGTTCTTTGATATTTCAGTCCGGCTTCTTACCTGCACAGGTAAACTCTGCTGTGAGGATCAAAATGTCAGATAATGTATGTCCTGTACCGAGTTGCATAAAACACAGTGAATTGTTAATAAATCCTAAGTTCCTTCCCCCTTCACCATTTCAGATTTATTTTGAATCTTATCATTGCAACACCTGTAATATTTGGACGCAGTTCAACCGTTCTAGATTTTGTCTGAATTCTTTACTTCTTTTAATGAAGCTTCTGACTGTGAATTACAAGTCTCCAGTGAGCCACCTCTCCCCTAAATGAGAGGAGTCATCTGGATAGAAACTAATCAGTGATCCTGCTCCCCTCTCCACTTTGAAAGTGAGCAGGGAACACCCCCTCCCCACCATGTCTTTCTTCTCTCTACCTAGATCCCTTGTATGAATAAGCTTATCTTTGGGGGGCAGGGAGCTGAGATGAGATTCGTGAGATGAAATCACAGGCTGGGGAAGAAAAGATCTTTCTCCAACAGCCCATGCAGATGTTACCTGTTTCACGTATCTTAGGCTATGCTGAATCCATCATCCTCGGGAGGCACACTAGCCATGCTAGCTCTCCTTGGCAAGGCTGCAGATAAATCAGTGGAAGGCATTTTATTTGGTATACCTATCATAGGACTTCACTCTCAGTTGTTCTCTCTTGTGAGAAAGAAAAAGAAAAGAGAGGAAAAGAAAGAGAAAACAGACTGTTTAGAGTCTCTACACTAGCACGTTAATTTCAATTATTTTTCTTCTTTGCTTAGTAGAAATAGAAAACAACTGGTTGCACTGAAATGATTACCTTCTCTTTAGGATCACTGTCGTGTGGTAAGTCAGATGCTGGACTAAGAGTAGGGTTCCTGGTTGTGGCGTCAACACTGTCCCACCTACTTATTTAAGGCAAGTTGTTCATACTTCCTGAGACTGTTTCCAGCCTATAAAATAGAAAAAAATAGTATTTTTAATTGCCTAGAATAGTATCTGTCACATAAAAAATGTTAAAAGTAGAGGGTGAGATATTATATTCACTCAACAATCCAGGTCCTTTCAACCTTCTTATTATAGAAATTGAAATATATAGTATTCACTGTCCATACACACATACACACAAACATACACTGATCTGCTATTATAATACTCTATGACACCCCCCTTCTGTTTCACTGACAACACATGTTGTGGCTATCTTTCCATGTCATTATATGAGACTTCAACTTCAGTTTTAATTTTAGTATAGTACTTTATAATAGGCATAGACTGCCATTTAATTAATTAGTCCCATATGGATGAGTATATTATTATAAATGATGCTGCAATAACATTATGTGTTAGCTTGGGTTTTTTTTTGTTTCGTTTGCTTGTTTTTTAGTTGGTCTTATTTTGCCAAACAGCATTTTGATGTAATCAAATGTGTCCACATTTTCTTTTATTGTTTTCAGTTTTTATGACCCAGTTAGAAAGGCTGTGTCTAAAAAATATAGTCAATAATATTGTAATAACTATGTTTGGTGCCAGGTGGGTGCTAGGCTTATTGGGGGAAATCGCTTCATAAATTATATAAATACCTAACCACTATGTTGTACACCTAAAAATAATATAAAATAATATTGAATGTCAAGAAATGTAAATGAAAAAAGAAAGTCTTTTGCTAAAGCCAGTTTATGAATATTTTAAGTATCATTTTCTATGAATAAATTCGTGATTGAATTGATACAAAAGAAATTATTACTATTTATATCTTGCTATTATTGTTGTTAGGTGGAAGAAATGAGATAGAGATCCCGTTTTATTTTTTTCCCAGATGGCTAACTAGTTGTTCAATATCATTATTGAATAATCTGTTTTCCCACTAATTTGAATATTTTCTTATCATATATTATTGAATTTATTTCTGGATTGTCTGTTATATTCACTTGGTTCACTAACGTTTGCTCCTGGTACCACACTTTTTAAAATACTACAGGTATTGCTAATAAAACCATTATTTATCAATTGGTAACATAAGGATTTGGGGGTTAGTAGGGAAAATTTCCAGCTGAAAGTACAATGGAAGTATTGGTTCTGCAGTTAAGAGAGTTTAAACAATGTCTGGAAAAGGTAGGTGGTAGCAGTGGGAGAAGTAAAAGATGAAGGTTGAAGAAAAATAGAAATGAACAGCATTGCAATTCCAAAGGGAAACCATATATATATATATATATATATAT